ATCATGGAGTCCTTGTTCTAAACAATACTGGAAAAGCAGTTATGTTGGATATTTTTTAAAATGCACCTGTAGTTTTATTCTTGGAGGAAAAGGTGGTATTTTAAAAATTACTCTAGTTGTGAGAAAGAATAAACCTGACACTTGTTTGTCACATGATATTATAGAAAAATAAAAAGAACAATCAAGCCATTTGGGGTGGGAGTAGGAACAAGGGAACCACACTGAGCAATCCTATTCCCCCAAAGCCCTTGTTAGATATCATCTCTTTATAAAGGTAAAGGCAACGCCCCAGTGGATATGTTAATCAGTAGGATGATCTGGATAAAAGCAAATTGGAAGCTCAGGAAAACCACCTCTAACAGTAGTTGACAATAAAAAACATATATTCCAAGGGAGAAAAATGACAAAAGAAAACTTAGACAAATTAGATTAAATATGCAGAAAGATTGCATCTCAGTAACTTTGGAAAATTCACCAAAAAGGAAAAGACCAACAGATGTTTGTTTTTTGTTTTGTGTGTGTGTGTGTGTGTGTGTGTTTTTCAATTGATCAGATGTACAAAAGTTAGCATAGTAATTATTTGTGAGACTTAGGACCTGGGTAAAACATCACTTGAAAATTCACCTGAAGTCTTGGCTTTAGTGGAAATTTGGCCAGGAACCCTAATGTTTCCCCCGTGTCTTGGTCTCCTAAGCTATAAATGCATAAAGATAAAAATAAACTTGTTCCCTTCACCTCAGATCCTCTCACTGCATACTTCCAAAATTGCTGGTATGATTAAAGAATTTGATGATGTTATTTAGAAGTCTTCATAGGGGGAAATGTATTTCCTCACATTAGTCAACAATAAATGGTTTATAAAACCAGGCCTCATGCAACAAGAAATTGGAAGTAAACGTCAAAATTTATGGCTCACGTAATAAGTTCCTTCACCCTACTTTACCTCATGCATTTTTTAGGGGAGCAGTAGGCATAAGAAATTAACTTTCAGATGACAAGGTATTCCAGTAGACTAAAAAGCACCTGTACTTTTTATAACATAAAGGTCCTAGAATATAGGGACCATGTCTTTAGTCTGAAGCATAACTTTTCTTGGTGGTGGTGTTCTAGTGCCTTTGATTTAAAGCTCCCTAGCCAGTTGCACTCTATAGTGAAGGAGTTAACGTGATTCCTAATAATATGAAGTGATTGAACTAAGTGAAAGAAGAAAGACCAGTGTTGGGGGAAAAAGAGTGGTCCATTAAAAGTCCCTTTAAATGGTTCCTGTACATAAGAAAATTCCTACCTCACACCTGGGGAGTTAGCTTTTTTCTTGGCTGTTTCCATATGGTCTGGTCTTCTCCCATCGATGCTAATGAGTAAATCTTGATTTAAACTAGTGGGTTAGACTTTCTTCCTCCTCCTTAAGGAAAGCCCCATTAGGCACATTTGGGAGGTTTTCTACATGAAATTCCATTGCCAAACCAAATAATAAAGGAATTTTTAAGTGTGTGTGTGTGTGTGTGTGTGTGTGTGNGAGAGAGAGAGAGAGAGAGAGAGAGAGAGAGAGAGAGAGAGAGAACATTTCTTTTGAATGAGGATTGGTGATAACATACTTAACCTGTCAGTGTAGGCAGACTACAAAAGCTCAAAGAACTATTTAGAAAACATAGAAAACGTGTGTTGATTTTTGCCCTCTGTCTTCTGTGGACCCGGATTTAAATGTACATTTCTGTCACATGTGTCCTGTGTTTATGCCATAACCAGAGTATAACTCTTCACTTAAGCCATTTTTTTGTGCCTTCATGTGCAAAAATAACCTTGTCATTTCTTTATTGTACATAATGCAGGTTAGGATAGCAGTCAAGATTAGCATTTTATGACATGTAAATAGCTGAATGATCTAAGTCCAATGTAAACTAACATACATAATTGAGTCCTTATGGCATTTCCTAGTTACTCACATGGAAATGCTACAGATACATATATCTATATATACACCAATGGATGAATATAAACTCCCATGTATATATTCTCAAACGGATAATTATGAATATATGTTTTATTGGGTTTTGGCTGGGTGTTGCAAAAGACATTTAAGTTTTCATTGAAATTTTTCTTCGTACTTGCGTTCACGTCAAATGAAAAAAAGGTAAGTATATTTTATGTCAAAAATAAACCGATCTTGGGTGGTACAATGCCATGTGCAGATTCTGACCCTATGCCCACGCAGAACTGTAAATCCACTCTGTGTGCCTGTGACTGATTGGGACTTGGATTTCTGATTTGGCTGACAGACGTGTAAAAACCTCAAGTAGTCAACAGCTCCCTATTGGCTGTGCATCTGAGGGGCTCAAGAGGGTTGTTTATTCCAGCAAGTGTCTGGAATACATTATGCTCCATAAATTGGCTCCTGCTACTCCTGTTTTGGAGAATATGAAGAATTTGTATACTGGGCTAAAATAAATGTACTTTGCCCAAATAACAATGTTCCTTAATAGAAAATGCTGAATATGACTCTATCTTCTGAATCTTGCACTGCCAATGTTTTCAACATATAGTGTTTCTGAAAGAGCAATAATGAAATATTCTCCACACCTTCAAATTCAGAACCTAGTTCAAAATTTAGATTGTTATCCAAAGACTATAAACATTTACTTTTTGGAAAGTTAAAAAAATAAAATGGTAGGATATTTGAATGAAGAATTGTTCCATACAGAGGGTGCCAAAAAAAATGTATACACATTTTAAGAAAGGAAAAAAACTGTATTAAAATTATGCTGATGGTAACCACTTTGAGCACCTCTTGTAATTGCAGAAGTCAAATGTGGCTTGTGTTCATCTTTTGTTCTTGGTATATATTGAGTATTATAATTTTAATACAGTTTTCCTTTCTTAAAATGTGTATACATTTTTTGGTACCCTCTGTATATACATTTTTAATGCAATACCAGGATCAAGGATCAAAAGACTCCTTGTATTAATACATAAAAATTTTAGATTATATGTATTTCTGAATGACAAAAATTGATTTAAAAATATGATTTTCAAATAAATACCATGCCTGTAGTCTTTGACAGGAGAAAGTCCCCTTGCCTTGGGTGAGATCTTCGCAAACACATATTTGGTAGTTTTGGGTTATTGTGGCACCTTCCTTAAATAAAACTTTTAATCACCTATACTTTCAGAGATTTTGGATTTGCTTTTTTATGTCATGGAAATTTTTTATATTTGTGAATGGGTGAGAAGGGATCAGCAGTGGATTCAAAAAAGCTAAGCCCTCCTTATCTGGCTAATTTGGGTAATATTTCTATTCAGACAAGATAATGAGGTCTTCTTACTGGGTGAACATAATTCATCAATACACTGACTTTCACCAGCAGGCCTTCTCACGCGATACACTCTTATTAAAAATTTCTAGGTCTGCATCCATATAAACATCCAACCATTTGGGATCAAAAATCAGTCTCTGTGTAGATTTCTAATTACTTCCTGTGTGTGGTTCTTATCTCGGAATCTATAATCTGTGGTCTTTGAAGGTGAAGGATTAGGTCTCATTGTTCTGACTCTTAACTTCATGGTATCTGGTACAAATCCACAGATACTTGATGACTGATAGAACCAGCAGTCAAGCCTGTGAACCTGGATGCTTTTGAAAATGTGTATGAGAAGACCCATATTCATACCATGCTTTATACTTTCCAAGGCCCCTTTTGCTTACATTATCTCAAATGATTTAATAATTGAGTAGGGGTGGGGAAGGGATTTCATTTGGGGCAAGGAGACAAGTGCAAACATTTGAATGCTCACTGAGAAGTGATGAGTCCTTATAAGAACAAATCATCAAGGTATTTGCATATCTTTCAGGCTTGTGATTGGCTTTCCTAAATCAAGTAAGAGGAACTTCCCGAAGGAGGAGCAGCTCAGATTACTGGCCCATCATGCAGGCTTCACCCAGTGCGGAAATACTTTACAGGCCCCATCAAGATTCTCTCGAGCCCCCATGAAGTCCCACATATAGAGGGACTTGGAGGTTACAGAAAATTACCCCAGCCTCCCAAAGGGTTCCCCCATGCAAAGAGAGGTGAAGCATTTAGTAGAAAGGACACAGGGCATTTAGTCCAGGCTCCTCCACCTGCATGCTTTTGGGTAATCCACTTATTCCTCTTTGCCTTGGTTTCCGTATGTATAAGAACGTAGATTACTTAGATATTATTACTTAGATTAAGAACTTATATTTGAATCCCAGATGTCTTAATATATTTCAGTCTGATACTTATTCCTTTATATTCTCTCCACCTCACCACACACAAAAAAATCATCCTGTCACTCCACCCACACACACCTAGCTCTCCGTGTTAACAGAGCAAACCCACCTCAGTTTAATCACCGCAAGGGCAGAGGTGTCGCAGTCACCCCGCGGGGCCTGGGCAGCAGGCCCAGGCCCAGCTTGGGCGCAGAGGGACCCAGGGAGGAGGCTGGGGGGCCAGGAAGGGGGTCCTGGGAAGAGGGCTCCCGTCGCCAGCGCCAGCCCTGGTGTCACTGTGTTCTCAGAGCCACACGAAGGGCGCCCCTCAACCCGGAGGCACAGACCCATTTAAGAAGGAAAGAAAGAAAAAAAGCCACCACTGGCTCGAATTTCTGGAAGCCAGAGCAATTTTTGCCCTAAACACCGAGACAGAACCCCTCTTGGCGCTGCCCTGGCCTCTCCGTTATCCATTTTCGGTTTGTTTTTTGGAAGAACCGGTTCCTCAGGCCCGCGTCGCCGGAGCTGGGACACTAGTAAGTCCAGCTGCTGGCCTGAGGCGAGCCACCCTCCCTTGGCGCGCTCTCCTGCCACCTTCGCCCCTGGCGGCGCGCTCCCGTCCTGCCCCGGCCGCCCGGCCGGCTTTAGCCTTCAGTTGGGTTGCGGTGAGGACGAGAGTTTGTTGTGAAACTAAATCTGACCCTTTGGCTCGGAGGCAGCCGCCGAGAGCTCGGGCCGCTGACGCCACAGCCCCACCCGGGGCCAGGAGGGCGCTGATCGGAGCCGGGACAGCCGCGGAGGGGGCGCAGCTGTGTGGGCCCGACCCCCGAGCGAGCGTCCCCCATACCCCAGCCCGCCTGCGCCCCTGAGGCCGCCTTCGCCAGTGGGCACCGCTGCCAGGTACGCGAAGCCACCTGGATGGGCGCAGCGGGCGCGCGCAGTAATGGGGCTGCGCACTGGGGCCAGCTGTGGTGACAGGCCAGCTGCGGTGACACGCGGGCGGCAACCCCTGGCCTGGCAGCCTTAGGGCGATGCACGTGGAAGGATGTGCCTGAGGCTGGTTTGTTTTCCTTCGGGGAGGTGGTGACTGATTGGGACATAGAGGGGACGGAGGGGGGAGTGCTCTTGGCCCTATATGATGTTGTGATGGCTGTCTTGGACGTGTGTGCTTGCACTTGAAACTCCAGTTGGGGAAACATTTGGGGAGCAGTAGGGGCAAGTAGGTATTTATATTTAGTACTTTCTAGTCCCCGGAGTTCCTTCTTTTGTTCAAAAGGGGGTCTGTTGGCCCAAATCAAAGAGGCCAGTTAAAAGAAGCAGCAGATGAATTGGAGGGGCCAACGGGGGCGAGGCATTATTTCTGTGAATAATTAGGGAAGCAATAAAAAATAAACAGGATCTCTGCTTTACCTTCGATGAGGTTGGGGGAGGTGGGAATACTGCCTACAATATAAAGAGTGTTTACTGTTTTCTTTATGTTAATTAAGACCCACCCCTCACTGTTTTGTTCTGACTAATACTGGCTAGGTAAGTCATCTCACAAAACTCAAGGCTCCTTGAAAATATTTCGGTGGGAGAAGGACTCAAACCTTTCAAGAAATGTGAAGGGATTATATATTCAAAAGAATCAATCTCAATTGTCTCCTCAGCGCAGAGGACCCCAATTATGGGTGCGGTGTGCAAGGGTGAGCAGGAGAGAATGTCCGTGTAAGGAAGGCGTGCCCCCAGCCTGCTCAGGGACCCTGACCCCCTGGCTGCCCGTGCCTCTGGTTCTGAGCTGTGCATTCAGCCAACACTGGGAAATGGGCCAAGTACCTACCATATATCTTGTCACATGGATAAAAATGGTTTCTGGCTGGAAGGAGCAGCCTGGTGGAGAATTGTGACCTAAAGTGACTAGTGCGCTGATGGCGGCAAACACAGGTGTGCAAGGCTTCCTGGAGGAGGGGCCTGGATGAGCCAGGAAGGCTATGCGGGAGTCTGGGTGAAAGATGTGTCCTCCGGACCAGAGTGGTGGGCACCAGGGGCATCTGGACATCGTCTGCCATAGTTGCAGGTGACAGGGGAGACCTGGGGTGCGGGAGGGATGTGCAGAGAGGGTAGCTGGGGTCAGATGGGGAAGGGCTGGGGTGTCAGACCAACCAAGACCACATCAGACCTGTTCCCTGCTTGGGCGAGCATAAATCTAAATTTCACAATTTGGAACATGTGGTGGCCTTGGAGAGAAGACAGATGTACTAATTAAGATAAGTTACAAAATAGGGGCAATGAACAATATTTTTTAGTGGCATTATTTAGCCTATAAAAAAGTCAAAATGTTCACAAAAGGTAATTAAAGGAGCCCTGTAATAGCAACATTGTTTTTCTGTTACCTTAGTAACCTGAAATGCAGCTTCCAAAAGTGCCCAGCTGTCCTTAAGCAATTGACTTATGTGATAATTTTTGGATGTAAAAACTGGAGACAGTTCAGGCATATTGCCTATTTATGGCATATTTATGACCTTTCTTTCTTTATAAAAGTGCTTATGATTTGCTTAACACACATTTATTGAACATGTATTATGTGGAGGACTTTTTCAATTGTCTCTAACCTATTACGTGGTATTAATGTCATTGTATAAATGAAGAAATAGGCTCAGAGAGCCTAATTCATTTTTCCAGGGTTACAGAGTTCATAAATGCTTCCAGTAGTCTTTTTCTCTATCGTGTGGCTCATCAGGACTAGCTCTGTTGTTGGCTTTTTCCCCTTCCTCATTTTTATCAGTGACTCCAAAGAAGAAAGCTAAAGTAATGGTTTGTTTTTACGTTGACACAAAGCTGAAATGAGTATCTCAAGTCGTTGGTTTACAGGATCACGAGTCAAAGAAAATCTGCTTGAGCTTGACTGACAGGCAGAAACTAACAAAACGAAAATTTCACAGGGATTAATATGTAACAGAGGAATTTATGACTTGAAAACTGGTCATTTGCTGAAGAGCATGAGTATCCTGAAGTTCAGTTAAGTGCCAGTGGTTTTGGGATCCAGAGGCCAATGACCAACAGACCCGTCCTGTGGAGGGGCCCCAGAAAGTTAAGTAACTCATTTCTACAAAGACGTATTGAACCTAGAAAGGGGAGCCCTTAGGGCATAGCATCATAATATTAAGTGTATCAAGGACAGTTTTGTGTAGGAGGGCATTGAAATATGTTTGTGTTGGTACAGGGGAAAAATTGAACCTAGAGAAGATGGGTCGATTTCAGCTCTGTGTAAGGGAAAGCCTCCTAGAGTTTAAACCTTCCCGCTTTGGACCAAGTGGCTTGCCAAGCTGGTGAATTTCTGTCCCCAGAGTTGTTCACGCAAAGGCAAGCATGTGTTGGGTGATTGCTGCTCTGGAAAATTGGATTCCATGACTTCCTTGTGTGGCCCCGTCATAGCATCCCGTACCCTGCATATCCCTGTCACATTCTGTCCACCCACGGTCTATTTTCTCATTGAACTGAAGGGAGCCCGATTTCTTAAACTTTTCTAGTTTTGCTCTAATGCCAGTTGCCCGTTGATTTTTAAGGAAAGAGTGAAATTCAAAGAAACCCCAAGTCGCTGCCTCTTTTCTGGCAATTCAGTGCCTCTTCCATTCCTGTCTTTATTTTCGGTGTTCTGGCCTCGGAGGCTGCAGTTTTCCTCCATCAGACAGTCCTCATTCTGGCTATGAGGCAAGTGAAAGGAAGAGTCAGCCCCCAAGGAAACAGGGAAACTGCTTTGCTGAACTCGTGATTGTCAAGGGTAAGGAGGTGAGTGGTACAGCAGAGCAGGGACGCGTTTATTCTCTAGTTCCTCGTAAAACGGCATGTGTAATATGCATTAATTCTGGGGTCTACTGAGGAGCTTAGATCCCTGGTACTAAGTACACCACCTAATGAGCTGGACGTTGACGTCTGTGCCTACATCATCCATGGCTAAAACTGCCTTTGAATTTCAGCAGCAAAAGAAAAAGAAACGATGTTAAGAGTCTGAGAAATACGTTTTCACCGTATTTGTATACATACAGCTGCTTTTTATTCTTGACAGCTGAACGGTGAGCTAAGCACAGACCGGGCGCTTTATGAATTTGACCCAAGGTGTTACTGAAAACCCGACCACCATTCACAATTCTGGTTTAAGTCCTTAAAAATGAAAACCTTCAGTATTATATCAATTATCCACATGCCAATTGAACCTTAATATTAAAGAGAATTGCATACTGTCCAGTCCTTGCCTCTTAAACCAGTGATATATTTTTAAGCCTCTTCTTTACTTCTACGCCTAAAAAGATGAACATTATTGGTTTTTGAACACGTATAATTTCCTCAAGGAGGAATACATGTCAGCTGCATGAGAGAGGAGTGTCGGTGGGTGAACCTCTAGACAGAGGTCAGCACGGCATCATGTTTGAGATGGAGGGGCGAGCACTGCTCTTCCCCATGGAGGAGGAGGTCTCAATCAAGAGAGTTTGCTTTCTTGACTCTACTGGAAAAAGGGTAACAACTGACCAGTAGTGTGAGTTGTAGCTCATTTAAAAAAATAAACTTTAAGTGTATAGTTCACTGAATTTTGACAATTCTGTACACCCATGTTGCCACTACCATCAAGATATAGAACGCTTCTGACACCCCAAAAGTGCTCCTGTGCCCCTGTACAGCCCAACACCTCCCCCGTCCCACCCCATGCCTGGTTCTAGGCAACTACTGTCCAAACTCATCCGTTAAGGATGGGTTTTTGTGGTGTACTTTTAACACTTTTAAGACATATTTGATATGGTAGATCTTTCTTTGTGAAGGTAAAGGAGTAGATATTTCGTATCTCTTCTTTTTCTTTTGAGTGAAGGAAGAACATCCATCATTTAGGTATAGTTATTTACTTAATTTGGAAACAGCAAACATAACCATTGAACGGAACCTGTTCATTTTGCTGCCAGTTGTTCCAGAATGTAAGTTATTTTAAATCTGAAACTATAGTCTTGGTAGGCTGAGAAACGTTTTCTGTGATACACTGCATACAAACAACATCTGTGGAGGGCTAGCCATGGCCTGAAGTCAGTAGATGCAGCAGAGTGAATGCACCAGCTTGGTGAAATTTTAGATAAGTTTATCAGTGTCATGTTTTAGATTATTTTCTCTTAGATGTCTGAATTTTCTCATTGCCCATAAGATTTATAGGCCTGTGGTTCTCAAGCACTGTGATACACAGCACGCCACTGTACCTCAGATTCATCATGGGTGTGCCACCAATTATAACCAACAGGCAACATTTACTTTGTCTATACCCGAGTAGAAATTATTTTGTGAGAATGGCTGTGAGCCTCTACCAAGTGGGTCGTGTGACGGGGTGAGTCACCTTGCTGAAGGTGGGAGGAGGAAGTGATTGGGTTAGTGATAAAAGAGTCCATGTTTACTGGAATGCGTCTTGGCATTTCTTCTTGAGTCCATGAGGGCAAATTCCATGCAGAGCAATGTTGAGTGGAAAAAAGAGCAAGTGGCAAGGGTGTGATAACCACGCGTACTTTTATCCACACAGTGACAGTCCCCACTAGTGATTTAGTGAAGGCTTTCAAATGTCCAGCCACAGTTTTTACTGTTCAGAAGTTTGCCATGAATACAGACATCTGGTAACCTCTACCACAGGGAGATTCACAAATGCTCTCAAGATTACAGGTTCCTTTGTAGCAGCTTCATTTGAATATTTTTAAAATGTGACTTCTGTGTTTCATCCTTTTTACCAGGGTCAGTGTTAATATGTCAATGAAATCCGAATATGTGAATTTGATCTTTACTGTTACTATTTTCCACTATCATACTTTTTGATCCTTTAATTACACTGTTTGGGATTTATCCTTAAATCATTAAAAGGAAAGAAAAAAATATCTGATGAATGAAGATCTTGAAGT